TTAGCTTTTGTCTCTAATTTTGGTCACAGACTCACAGGAATACAGGATTAGATGTTTTTGTCCGGCTCTGACCACTTAACCGATCGATTTTCATTCATTTTTTTGGTTGATTGTTGCAAGTGAACAGAAGAACCATAATTGACAAAATCTAGTCATGGTTTGGGTTGGATACAATCTCTGTTTCAAAACTAAAATAGGTTTTGAAGAATGTTCCAAAAAAAAAACTAAACTTCACTGAAACAGGTTCTTGACACAGGTCGAACTTGGGTACGATTTTGGTTCCTCCAAATGGTTGAACTAGTTTTGGTTATTTTGTTTGCGTTTGGAGGACCAATAATGGGCTTATAAGCTTGAATGTACAAAAAAATCACCACACCCCTTAAATGAGTTGACTTGACTGATTTTTATTATAAGCTGGAAAAGTAGCCCAACTCTTACTTTTTTGCCTGAATCTTATTATCATACCGTTAAATTATTAAAAGACATTTATTCTTGTCTTTTTACATTGATCCTTCTTTCTGGTTGGCAGTGTTTTTAGGAAATGAGTAATTAGGACGCATCAATAATGTGAAAATCGCTTGCTATACATATTGAGTGTAAATTAATTATAAAAAACAATTAGTAGTGGCATGTCGCCTATCGTAACATTTTTATAATAAAATGAAAGTATCCGGAATTGAAATAACTAGATACGTTGTTATTTAGGTACTACATGCATAGTACTCCATCCGTTATTTATTTATATGTGAGCTTGTTAATATAGTTATTAAAAAGTGTAATTTTTAAAATTAATTTATTCATAGTAGTGAATGATTTTACTAAGCAAAGCTAACACACATATTACCAAACACTTTAACTTTAAGCAATTTTAGCAGTTTGAGTTGTTGCAGCCGTTATTAAACAGGTCTCAAGGGTGGGTTGATTGAATCATGTCCACGAAAATCACATTGAAACCCGTCCACGGGAAATTCTGCCCCAATCAAAAGTGGAAAATAATTTAAGGAGTAAAGAAAGAAGATGTATGTCCTATACTCCTATAGTGGTGACTGGTGAGATCAAAAGTGAAATTAGTTTCACTTGCGGTTTTGATGATTATTGATTTAGTGTTGCTTTAAATAAAATAAAAAAGTCTGAATGGCCAAAGCCTAGCTAAAAAGGTGATAAGAAATTACCAAAAGGCAAAAGTGAATAAAATTGAAAGTAATTGTCTTAAATGGGAGTAAAACAATCAGAAAAATCCAAAATAAGAGTGGTTACTGATTTCTTCATTGAATAGGAGTATGTGGTTGACCACTCCGTTCGTTTTACCAATTATACCCTTATTTGCAAATTAATTTGTTTTATTTTGTCAGATCATTTTCCTTTCACGCAACCTTCAGAGGCCTTATCCTCTCTTTCCTTTTTGCACTGCCGCTTCTGCCTCTCTCCTCTTCCATCTCTCCCCTCTAAAAAATTTCTCCGGCCATTGCCGATCCTCGATCTCTATTTTTCACCCACTCCGGTAACCGGCGGACGGAGATAATCATCACAGGTAAGCTTTGATCTTTCTTCTCCTTCTCTGCCTTGATCTCTTCTTCTCCTTGGTCTTCTATTTCTTCTCCCTTCTCTTATTTGATCGGCATCATAGCCTGTTTTTTATTGCACCTTGAAGTTGCTAGTTATTGGACAACCAAAATAATAATCCGTCACTTTTTGATCAATTTTTCTTCCACTTTCTACCATCTTTCCAGATCTGTTTTTGTTTTTTTGCTTTCTTTTCTTGATTAATTTCTTCTCTTTCCATTTTGATTCATTAATTTGGAGATTGTTTTTGGGTTGAATATGAATTTGCCGTCGTTTTTCTTTCACCTTTTTGTTTTTTAACTTTTTATTTTCTTTTTTACATTAAGTTAATATTTTTTACTTTCATGTCGATCAATTTTTTAACTCTTCAAATTAATTTTATGATTTGAATTACAAGTAGATATAATTGCTTTTAACTTTTTGACATTGAAATGAAAACATTACTTCTTTGCAAATAATGCCATGTTTTCTACGTGAAAATATTATTTTGACATTTAGTGTCACTTTTATTGTGGCATTAACTCTTCTAGATGGCAAAAAACAATACCAAAAATGCCATATTTTTTCATATATAAAAAAGTAAATTTTGTCCATATTGTCATTTATATGGCACTAACTATATAGTGATGACAATATTATTTCCCCTACAAATCCAACATTTAAAATGTCAATAAAGTGTCAAGAAGACACTAACATTCATATCCTCTTTTTTTATTGTATAAATCTTAATAAAAAAGATTTTTGTGAGATGATATTTTAAATTAGTTTTTACAGATCTGAGATATGTAATGGTGGAGTCAAAAATGGTGGTGGTGCTAGAAGAGGTATGAGGCTGTGATGATTGACCAATGGTGACCCGCGACTGGCGGCGGAGGCACTTGACAGCTTTGAGGCCGGCAGATGAGACGATAGTGATGAAAATTGCGGCGGCGGCTGGCGGTGTCCAGCGGCGTCTGGCGGTGTCAGGCGGCGGTAAGGGGCAGCTGATGGTGGTGACTGGTGCAGGTCCTGTCCCCTGGATTCGTCCGGCGACAACAAGACTGGAGTGGGCAAGAGGAGAAAATACGTCGTTGTTGCAAACTCATTAAACTGGAATTCATTTATTTATTATTCTATTGTACTAAATAAATTGGAATTCATTAAGGGCATTCTTGTCCCTTACTATTAATTTCCGTGTGGCAAAGTAGAGGTGGGATTGGAGTCCTACTTTTGCACAATGGATATGTTTTACTACTTTTGCATAAATGAGAGTTGATTATGATCTTATAATTATGATGCCGATAGTAGAATATTGTGTACAATATTTGATGTATGATTTTTAAAGATGAATTTGCAATACATCATAAGGCATAGTTTGACTATTGGAGCTAGTGAGATATAAAATGTTCATTTAATCACGACATAACATGTAATCTACTTTTCTCTCATTAAATGTTAACAAGCAAAGACATAGAAAGAAGAAGATAACTATTTTCGGGTTGGTAATATATATAGTTACTACTCTGGTTTCCCCTCCATATCGACTGGTACTGGGTATCAGGTTTCAATTCGATTCTCATCTGCGTGACTGCAGGTTCCTAGTTGGTTTCCATCGATTTGGTTTGCATATGGTGACTAATTAAATAATACCTCCATATTTAGACTTAAATTTATTCCCTCAGTCCCTAGCTCAGATTTTGCATTAGCCGTGCTTGGAATAGCGGCCTCTTCACCTTCGAGCTTCTCATGCTTCCAAGAAGTTGTGCACATACATGCACTGAGGTCATTGCACAAGCAAACTTTTATGGGCAGTCGAATTGTATGAAGGAAGTTTGTTAAAAGTAGCAAACTTTATAGGGAATATTGAGGAACTAATCCAATAATTAAGAGCAGAGGTTCACCAGATACTGCAGCAGCGAATGCAAATCTCATTGCACGACCTCAAGTGTATGACTGACCATGCCAACTTTAATTTTTATCTGCTCGCAATGAGAAAGGAAGCTTTCGATCTCAACAGTTTGCTTCTTAATTCTCACATGATCGCCAGCAATGCCCCTACAACCACGCACTACCTTGTGACGGGCATTGCCATGTATCCGATGAAGCGCGCGAATAAGTCGCAAGTCAAGTGTCCGTGAAGCTCCTCATCAATTACAACCACATCATGCCTACTCATTATACCCTAGATACCTATCTCACCTTCGAATGCCTCCAATTTCGGGACAACAAGGCCAAGGCACAACTCGATGATATGGGAGGTTTAAGAGTAGAAAAACCCATTGGTTCTTTTGTTCTTCACCAAGCACAGGTTCTAATACGAGGATATTTTTGTCAAAACACTTCCATTATTAACACCTCATTTTTGTAACTCTCCCAAACAAGGTAAGATTATGTTTAACACTTACACTTACCTTCCCTTCCAACACTCCATTACTAACACCTCCCAACACTCCATCCAAACAGCCCTGTGTTCGAGTGCTTTGATATGGTAATCCTGTGTTCGAGTGCTTTGATATGATTTATTATTCATAGAAGATACTGCTTTTTTAATATGTAGGAAATCAGACATTTTCAGTACTAGTTTTGAGTTAGCCTTTATATTTTATTTTAACTCATTTCAGGTTATTTATCAACAACATTTCAATATCTCTCTTTTTTACATTTCAATAGCTATTGTAGGCAAGTTTTGTTGTTTTCCTCATGCTAAATTAAATGAGAATATGAATCTAAAGAGAAAAATGAGAATGAATCTAGAATATTGGATTTGAGAGTTGTGCGCTATCTCAGACTGAAATGTGCATTGAAAAAATATGGTGACATTTTTGTAAATAAAGTGACTTTTTCTATTGTTGTGAAATGTGCATTATCCTTAAAAAATTTTGCGGCTACATGAATCAGGGTGTGCAACATTTTGCATCATCCTCATTTCTTACAAGAAGAATCACTATATAGATAGGGTCTCGTCCGGTGAGAGCGGTTGTTCCCGTGAGAAATAAGAATGACCTCAAATGATGCACATTTTGAATCTTTCATTGATTAGAATTTGAAAGTGAAGATTAAAAGTTATCATTCATAAATGTGTTCTCATTTTAAAAGGGGTAGATTCTTATTATAACCTCTAATGTCATGGATACGAAATTGAACATTGAGGACCATCTATATAAATTTGGTGTTGGGATATATTATCCCGGCCTATTACTGTTCAGGAGCCCAAGACATTATCCAGTACGGAGCCCGAGCAGCTAGGTCCATTTCGGCCCATTCTGGCCCACTTTGGCCATTAGGCCCGACATCGGCCCGTTTGGCCCATTAGGGTGGAGTACTTCCCTCACCCCTTTCCCTATTTATAGGAGGTCTTCCCTCCATATTATGGATCTTTTTGCTTCTTCCTCCTTCTCACTAGAATAGCTTAAGACTCCATTAATGGGAGCTTCAATACTTGTACTATGTAATGGTGAAGAGAGACTAATGAGAATGAGAGGACTTGAACATTAGCCTAAAAAGTCCCATGGTTTTCTCCCTTTCGGGTTTCCACGTAAAAACTGAGCTTGTTCATACACATTTATACATATATTTACTATATCGTGTTGGATTAAACTCAACACTGGCGCCGTCTGTGGGAATCTGTCCAAAAAGATTCGTGTGTTCTACTGTTCTTGAGTTTCTACGAAAAATTCATACGAAGTGGACTGATTCTAGCAAAAATTGAAAAAGAAAAAATCTGGAATTTTGGTTTGGGGAAGCTCTGGATCTGCCGCCAGCAGCTCCGTCCAACAGACCGAGGAAGAAGAAAAGCAAAAAGAAAGGTTCTGGGAAAAAAGAAGAAGAGATGAAGTCCAGATCTGGAATTTTGCAGACCGTGGCCGGAGCAGCCGTCCGTACCACCGCGCGCTCCACCAAGAGCTCGCTGATATACGATGTAAAAGCCGCCTAGCTTTTCCGGCCCTCGTCATCGCTAGCAGCGCCGCTCTACGCCTCCGTCGCGGTGCGCCCGCCGGCCTCAGCTCCCCCTCGCTGCTCGAACCTCAGAGAAGGTCCGCCATTAATGGCCGCTGAGAGCTTCAAGAGTGACAACCGTAAACCAGTGCACCCCCACGGCTCGACCGCTCGAGGTTAGGGAAGTTTCGCAGGTTATGCCGGAGTCCTGGCTGGCGACCACGCCACCGGTCTTTGTCGCTCCGCCGCTACCGCCGCCTGAGGCAGCTTTGTCTTGGCCGTCATCAGCCGCTGTTGCGTTGCCACCGCTGCGTTGCGCACTACGTGGGCTCCCTTCGACCAGCTACAGCAGCTGAGTAAGGTAGGGGTAGCTGCCAGCTTGCAAAATGTGAAGGCTGGATGATTGGAGGCTTTTTGGCAATTTTGACCAAGTCAAAATCAGCAAGGATGAGCAAATTGTTTTCACAAAACCCCTTGGCCGAGTATCAACTTGAAGCTAAGTATTCAATCTCCGAATTCCACGTTAAGGTACTTGGCTGGTAGCTTTAAAATAGGAAAAAATATTAGTCAGAAATGCTACTAGTATTTTTATCATCACTATTTATTAGGGATTAAAATCTCCCGAAATGGAATAGTGCGAGCGATGCTCGGGTGATGATTAATTTCACCGTCATTTAAATTTAATGACTGGTTGTTGTGGGCCCGTCGGCCCGCTCCCGATCGGCTTTAATTAGCGAACGGAGCGTATCTGAATGGCCTTTGGTAGGATAGTATCATTACTATTACTAGTTACATCACTATCACTTATTAGGGATAAAAATGTCCCGACTTAAATAATGTGGAGCGAAGCTCTAGTGATAGTTAGTTCCGCCAACATTTTATTAAATGTTTAATTGTTGGTGGGCCTGATTAGCCCCTCTCGATCAGCTTGATTAAGCGATCCGAGCGTCTGCAGGGGGCAGTGCCCCGACGACGCATTTCTATTTGGGGATTACGCGTTAGTCCGCGCGGCACCAAGTGCCCGATCGACGATCGTATCCTAGTATCATCTACGCCATTAGGCGCGAAGTGACTATTGCCAGACGCGGCCTGTGGGGCCCCGAGGGCACCAAAGCGCTCGGCCTCGTGTTTCCGAGGGCGGTGCGACTAACTTGGGTCTGAGTTTGAAAACTCACAGACCGATGAATATTTTTATGTGACGTTCGGTAGGCTGCTAAATGGCCCTGCCGCAAGTTGTTACGTCCAGTAACCCCGCACGATGAGCCAGACTGAGGGTCACAATGACCCATAGGCCAGTAATCGTGGGTGTTAGAGAGAAATCCACATAGATAGCTATGTATATATACTGTCGGGCCGTGCGGCCCGTTATCATGCTTATTGCGCAGCTGAAGCTGCTCGACGCGCTCGAGCGAAATGATTAAAAGACGCTCGGCCCGAGTCTTGAAGACGTTCAGGGCCAGCTAAAGAGGAGACCATCACGGCTGAGAGCCGAGAGACGAGCATCTCCACCTCAGAGACCGATGGCCTAGGAAGAACACCTAGAGGCCGAGGGTCTAGAGGGAACTGCCACGGTGAAGAACCGTGAGACGATCATCCATCATTCAGAGGCCGAAGGCCTAGAGGAGACCGTCGCGGCCGAGGGCCAACTGACACAATCATATCATGACCGGCCTCTCGGCACGGCGTGATTATCATCTTCTGAAGACCGGTATCATCCCCGCGCTGCGCGGATGAGAGCCATTGCATGGGTACACTTGATCGGCCTCTCATTGCCGACATCATTATATCACGACCGGCCTCTTGGCACGGCGTGATTATCTTATTTGAAGACCGGCCTCGTCCCCGCGCTGCGTGGAGGAGGACCGTTGCTGGATCTCAGATCGGCCTCTCATTGCCGACATCATTATATATCACGACCGGCCTCTCGGCACAGCGTGTTTATCTTCTGAAGACCGGCCTCGTCCCCGCGCTGCGTGGAGGAGGACCGTTGCTAGATCTCAGATCGGCCTCTCATTGCCGACATCATTATATATCACGACCGGCCTCTCGGCACGGCGTGTTTATCTTTTGAAGACCGGCCTCGTCCCCGCGCTGCGCGGATGAGGACCGTTGCTTGATTTTAGGTCGACCTCTCATTGCTGACATCATTATATATCACGACCGGTCCCCCGGCACGGCGTGTTTTCCATATTTGAAGATCGGCCTCGTCCCCGCTCCTCGCGGATGAGGACCGCTGATTATCCCTCTTTGGATCGGCCCCAGCGCCGACGTCATACATGGCCACCGACCTCCTGGTACGGTGCCACCATCATATTTGAAGACCGGTTTCATCCCCGCGCTGCGTGGATGAGAGCCGTTGCTCGGATATATCGGCCTGATTGGACACTATTGTCATCTCCTTATCAGGACCGACTGCTCAGCGACATTATGATCATTATCGGCTCCCAATGCCGACCTTCTTGAGTTAGTGATCGGACTCACCCCTCCCCTCCAGGAGGGTGACCATCGCCTTCGCATGATGACCAGCTATTTCATCGCCTCGTCATTTTATTCGTGTTGGTATCCCACCACAATTATGTGTGACATCACTTGTGGTCATTCTTAGAACCGACGAACGTATTTTCCTCCCTAAAAAAAAAGATGGGGAGAAGGGGAGACAAGCTCCTATGAGAGAGGGAGTCTTGACGAGGTATGCTAGATCTTCCTTCGCCGCGAATGACGAACGTCTCCTGACACGGAGGCCAGTAGGAACGTGGGGGGGGGGGGGGGCTAGACGAACCAAAGGGAACCTCGGAAAGATAAACCAGTTCCTCCCATTTCCCGTGGATCGACGAACACCTTCTGCCAGAGCAGAAGGCTAGTAGGGCCACGAGCATGGGACGACGAAGCAGGGAACCCGCGATAGGTTAAACCAGTTCCTCCTTGCGATCGGTGGATGCCGAACGTCTTCTTCGAGGGAAGAAGATTAGTAGGATCGCGACAGGGACGAACAAAGAAACGGGAACCCTGACAGGGTATACCGGTTCCTCCCCCTTGATGGACGGATGACGAACGTCTTCTGCGAAGCCAGAAGACTAGTAAATCACGACTAGGGACGAACAGAGATAGGGAATCCCGACGTGGATAAACCTGTTTCTTCTCATAGTTGGGATGACGAACGTCTCCTACGAAACCAGGAGACCAGTAACTCACGAGACTTGAGAAGAACGAAGACCAGCTCCATGGATCAGACACGAAGGACCAGTTCTTCACCGGAGTCTGTTGCGTGCCGAGTGTACACCGCTTAGCGGTCCATACATAGGACCACGGATACGGTAGACGAATGAAGACCAGCTTCATGGATCAGACATGAAGAACCAGTTCTTTACCGAAGTCTGTTGCCTGCCGAGTGTACACCGCTTAGCGGTCCATACATAGGACCACAGATACGGTAGACGAACGAAGACCAGCTCCATGGACCAGACACGAAGGACCAGTTCTTTACCGGAGTCTGTTGCGTGCCGAGTGTACACCGCTTAGCGGTCCGTACATAGGACCACAGATACGGTAGACGAACGACGATTAGCTCCCCAGATCAGACAGGAAGGACAGCACCCAGATTTACTTCAGGTTCACCATTCTTTCCCAGATGGAGTCTTGGCAGACGATCGGCTTCTCACAGCCAGTCAGGAGGGAGACCTGACACATCACTAGCACGGCCGAGGGCCGTGAGACGATTATCACTCACCGACAGCCCAAGGGCCATGAGATGATCATCACCATTTTTTATGCAGTACGATCGGCCCCTCAGCGCCATCGTACCCAGCTCACGTTCAGCTCGTCCATCCCTTCCAGGGTGGCGACGAACGTCTTATGCATCACGATCGGCCCCTCAGCGCCATCGTGTCCAGATTCACGGCTCGGCTCGCCCATTCCCTCCAGGATGGTGACGACCGTCTTATGCAGTACGATCGGCCCCTCAGCGCCATCGTACCCAGCTCACGTTCAGCTCGTCCATCCCTTCCAGGGTGGCGACGAATGTCTTATGCATCACGATCGGCCCCTCAGCGCCATCGTGTCCAGATTCACGGCTCGGCTCGCCCATTCCCTCCAGGATGGCGACGACCGTCTTATGCAGTACGATCGGCCCCTCAGCGCCATCGTACCCATCTCACGTTCAGCTCGTCCATCCCTTCCAGGGTGGCGACGAATGTCTTATGCATCACGATCGGCCCCTCAGCGCCATCGTGTCCAGATTCACGGTTCGGCTCGCCCATTCCCTCCAGGATGGCGACGACCGTCTTATGCAGTACGATCGGCCCCTCAGCGCCATCGTACCCAGCTCACGTTCAGCTCGTCCATCCCTTTCAGGGTGGCGACGAACGTCTTATGCATCACGATCGGTCCCTCAGCGCCATCGTGTCCAGATTCACGGCTCGGCTAGCCCATTCCCTCCAGGATGGCGACGACCGTCTTATGCAGTACGATCGGCCCCTCAGCGCCATCGTACCCAGCTCACGTTCAGCTCGCCCATTCCCTTCCAGGATGGCGACGAACGTCTTTACGTAGCACGATCGGCCTCTCAGCACCATCGTGTCTGGCTCATGTTCGGCTCGCCCATCCCTTCCAGGATGGCGACGAACGTATCTTATGCAGCACAATCGGCCCCGCCGTGCCATTGTGTCGAGTACATCTCCGGATCGCCCATCCCTTCTAGGATGGCGACGATCATCTTATGCAGCACGTCTGCCTCTCGGCGCTGACATGCCCGGTTTATCGATGAGAGCTACCGCTTTCTATCACATCTCACATTCCTTCTCTCATACATTGCACCCATACATTACATGCATTCATGCATTCATGCATCATACCTCATACATTCATACATACACACGTGCATCATGTTTTGACAGTACCGCGACGTCGGTTTATAGATGCATGGACCTCTAAGCTTCTCTGATTGGAAAGCTCGAGTCAGAGTCCTTTACTCCCGCCTGATGCATTCAGGGGGAGTATGCCCGTGGAGGAGCACCCTTCGCCCGACCCCGTCGGGAAAGGGGGTGCCTCACCGGCAGATTACGTTCAGGAGTGCAGACACCCACTCATATATTATGATTATTCGAAGACACAGTATCCAGCAAGACAGAGGAAGAGCGCAGGCAAGAGTATATTTTCTCGAGCAGATTCGCACGCTCATTACTCAAGAAACTGGGGGACTTGTGTTGGGATATATTATCCCGGCCTATTACTGTTCAGGAGCCCAAGACATTATCCAGTACGGAGCCCGAGCAGCTAGGTCCATTTCGGCCCATTCTGGCCCACTTTGGCCATTAGGCCCGACATCGGCCCGTTTGGCCCATTAGGGTGGAGTACTTCCCTCACCCATTTCCCTATTTATAGGAGGTCTTCCCTCCATATTATGGATCTTTTTGCTTCTTCCTCCTTCTCACTAGAATAGCTTAAGACTCCATTAATGGGAGCTTCAATACTTGTACTATGTAATGGTGAGGAGAGACTAATGAGAATGAGAGAGCTTGGACATTAGCCTAAAAAGTCTCGTGGTTTTCTTCCTTTCGGGTTTCCACGTAAAAACTGAGCTTGTTCATACACATTTATACATATATTTACTATATCGTGTTGGATTAAACTCAACATTTGGGTTTAATGCACCAAACCCCCCTGTGATATGAAAATTCGGCGCATTAGCCCTCTGTGATTTAAAAAATGTGTCAAACCCCCTTGTGTTTTAATTAATTATGCGCAAAATCCCTTCTATGAACAAATCCAATTGTCAAATAAAAGAAAAATAATTAACATTTATGTATGATTTAGAGATTATGACATATTTACTTGCATATTCAATCATAATATTAGGAAAAGTGGTTTCCAGATCATTAAATTTATTCAAAAATAAAGAGGTTTTGTGCATGATTAATTAAAACACAAGGGGGTTTGACGCATTTTTCAAATCACAGGGGGCTAATGCGCTGAATTTCTATACCACAAGGGGGTTTGGTGCATTAAACCCATATAAATTTGGAGAAATTCATACAAATAATCCCTACTTTTAATGATTCTACATTAATAATCCATACTGAGGGAATTAATAAAAATAATCTGAACTCTCAAACCTGTTCACAAAAATAGATGAAAGTAAACGTTACTAACAATTCCGTTATAATCTCATCTCGTCGCCCACTCCCCTATCTCTCCGGTACATAGTTTCTTCTTCCCAGAAGTATTTTTATCCTCTAATCCATCATCTTCTTCACTATACTAGATTTTCACCCGCGCGATGCGCGGTCTATATTATCGAATAGTTATATAATCTTATTTATTAACGTTATTAGTGCATGTGCAGATGATATTCTTTTATACGCATGTAATATATATGAACAATATACAATAATTATAGAGAAAACTATAGTTATCACTAATAATAGGTACGATTTATATATTAGGATAAGAGGAAAAACAAATTATGAGGACAAATTATTTATGAACAAACTAAATAGAATTTATAAATACCAGATATTATATTATATTATTATAATAATTTGAAATGATTATCGTGCCTACATTGTGGACCATCAATTTTTTTATGTTGACTTAAATGACATGAAAATAATGTTTTTAGATCTATTTGAATACTATAAAAACAAAAGTATGTACTCAAACACTTTTAAATATTTTGATGGCCCAATTAAATCTGACCCAACCGTTAAATATGTACAAAAGTATGTAAAATCCATTAAATTTCAGACCCAAATATCTGAAATTTTGGATCCACCTTAATCTTGGAGAATAAAACCTTCAGCCAGCCCCTAATCCTACCCGGCCCGTTTAAACGTACCCAGCCCAGCCTGTTTAACCTTCCCAAACCAGCTAAAAACCAACCCTAGTTATAAATATAAATACCCTGCTAAATAATGCTCCACCCTTTTATCCAGCGTGCTCCCTATTATCCTCTAGACTGTTCGACACCTCAACATCCTTCTGTGATGAAACCTACCGCCTTCAATGCGATATTCCAACTCCCCCTCTAAAACACCTTCCTCTACCCTTCTTGGTCTACCTCTTGGCCTCTTAGTAACAGATTCAGGAAGCTGGTCAGGGACCTTTTTGCACTTTGTTTTTGTGTGTCCCTTTAAGTTACAATTACTACAATGCATCTCCCTTCCATGCCTAGGTAGCTTTCCAGATTTTTTTGGATCCTCATAAGGATCTTTTTTTTCTTTTTTCTGAGATCTGCCAGGCCCTTTTTTATTGGGAGGGGGTTCAAGTAAAATTTTAGATGCTGGCCAATATCTTTCACCCTCTAATGGAGCAATCATCCCATTATAGCTTTGTAAGTAGGCTGCTTTCTTATAAAAAGGATGTATAAAGTCTTCAGCTTTCTTTCTCATGAAAAATATGCAGGATATTGCATGACAACATGGGATGCCAGTGAGATCCCATTTTCTACATGTGCACGTTTATTTTTCCAAATCAACAACTAGTTCATCTAGGATAAGTCTTACTTGAAACCGTGTCATTGTTAAAGGGGTTGAAAACAGTTAATACTTTCATCCTTTGCCCTTTCCAATTTAGTAGCTATCCTAGGACATATATCATTATCAATTGCTTCCATCCACTGCCTTTTTAGTACAAGTCTTTCCATTAAAGCAGTCCTTATATCCTCCAACATGTAGATAACATGTTTTGATCTTGTTTCGATGATGTATCCATTGAAAGTTTCTGCCATTGAAAAGCACGACAGAACATCTTAGGATTCTGAGCTATAAAAGCTTCAACGGCTGGTTTAGATATCTTCCCTATTTTTTCTAAAGCCTCACTATAACCTAACTGATTATATGATCTCACAGCTTCCCATAAATAACCCTTTATCTCATCACCTTTAAATTTAGAGTGCCAGTTCTTAAAAATGTGTCTAGCACAATTTCTATGTTGAACAAAAGGCAGAACTTTTGCAACAACATTAATAAGACCCTACAAAAATGTTTATTATATTTTGTTAATTTCTTTACATATCACATTCATTAAAGTAAAACTAGAAAGATGTGTACCTTTTGCTGGTCAGATATTCATGTCCAACCTTCACCGTTTGTTGTCTCCAAACAAAACTGTAAGTTCGATAAAAACCACTCTCAGGAACTGCTATTTTCACCCTCTATTGCTGCCCAAGCTAAGGGAAACATTTGATTGTTCTCATCTCTGCCAACAACAACTAGCAACATACCACCCCAGAAAAGTTTTCAAAAAACAGCCATCCAAACATAACACCCGTCTGCAACTGCTTAAAAGACCACTTTTCAACCCATCAAAGCATATAAACAACCTCTGGAAAATCAAAGGATTTGTTGTCACCTTGGGGCAGTGAATATGTCAAAGAAAGATTCAGGATTTGCCTTCCTCAAATCCATTAAATAGCTGCCCACCTTACCATAGTGGTCCTTCATTGAACCATGTAACAGTTTGTTAGCTTCATACTTGATTTTATAGGCTAACTTTCTCTTGATAATGACTTTCCACTTCTTCTTGACGACTTCAACAATATCCTTCCCAGGCCAGTGTGGTGTTGCTTTAAATACTTCTAACAAATTCTTAGCCATCCACTTTGACTTAAGTTGTTTATTTCTACTCATGTCTCTGTAGCAGTTGTGGTTGTTGTTCACTGACTTCACAATATAACAGTCTCTTTTATAGTCTCAAGAACCATAAAGAAAAAACTCACAGCCTGCTACACATTTCACACCTAATCTTTGACTCCTTTTCTGGTCACTAATATTGTAATTCAAGTTTCTTCCTTGAGCAACTACATACCTAGTCACAACCTCTCTAAATGTTTCTCTGTTAGCAAACCTTATCCCTACACACCATTTGAGGTTGCAAAAATCAGTAGATTCATTCACGATTAGAGCTCTATTCTTCCTTTTCTTTCCTAAAATATCATCTTCTTCACTCTCTCCAGGGGAATCAACATCACCTTCACTGTCCTCATACTCCGAAACATATTTATCTGCTTCTTTATCCATAACTGCTAAATGTTCTTTTTCTTAATGACATGTACCCTCTTCCATCTGAATAAGAGCTTCCTTAACTTCTCCCGTTATTTTCAGATTCCACTCATGTACTCCCCTAGATAAGGCTTGCCTTGTCAAGCCCTATAGCTTCAACCCATTCTTCATCACTTGTATCACTTTTTTCTCCATGAAGCGGCTCCATATAAGGGTGCCCAGGTTGTTCATAGTCTTCATCAAACCTTGGATTTTGTTCTCCTCCTTCTGACATGTCATATTCCTCATCATTCTTGTGCAGAATATATATGTCAAATGTTCCAGCTTTCATGCCCAATCTTCCTATTTCTATCACATCATTATCACCAGTAATCTTATGAAAGTTTGCATGCAACTCCTCCCTAGGAATATGGTAATATAGCCAAGCGATTTCATCATGGATTCCTATCTCTTTCGGTAGAGTGAAAAGCAATCAAAAATCCAATTTATCAGGATCTATATTGCCAACAACAATTCCCCCCCCCCCCCCCCCAATATATTGGATGTGAGGAGTTTTATTGAACTCCCCTCCGTGATGATAGTTCAGCTTAAACATCTCTCATAAATAAATGTGATGGAAGATTGTTTGATCAGTTAAGAAGATGCATGTAAAATGTTAATCTCCCATAAATAAATGTGATTGAAGATTGTTTGATCCTTTAAAAAGATATGCAGATTAATAATGAAGATAAGGACAATCCCAACTTACCCATGAGAGGTGATATGCCGGCCTATATATCAATCTACTTCTTTAATTATGAAATGTTACCATCATTAGATTATCATGAATAATAATTGTTTGCTTTAGTTTGATGTGAAAATTCGTGGATATGTATATACATATACACCATTGAGAGCTTTTATTCCTATTTAATGGACACATACACATATTTAATACGTAGTATATATTAAATATATTTGATCATGATTTGATCAAAAGTACTCCCGAATTCAAAATCAGTGTTTGGGTAAATAGTATTTGTGCCTTTTCACTATGTTTCAAATCACTAAATAACCAACGTATATTTCAAAAAAAAAAGGAAAAAAAACTAAACTACCAACAAAGCATCATAGACGAACACACTGCTACTAACAAACAATTGAACAATACTACAAACGAACATCATATACATAATAATCAGTAAATTAAATCGACCACCTTAACCCTAATAGTAATTTCTAGCCCGTCTATTATGAAAAAAATCAAAATATTACATAATCGGTATTGACCCTCTCTTCGACGGCTATTTCATTTCTGCGACGTGATATGTCCATAGCAAGATAACAGATGAAGTGTTGATTGCGATAAGATTAAGATGTAAAGAAGAAAAAGATTTTTTAATAACAGAGATGGAAGAAGAGTTGTGCGAATGGAGAGGAAGTTGAGTGGGAGATGAAGAGAACGTATGGGGAGGTGGGCTGAGATGATATTTGAAACGGAATAGTTAACCCTATTTCATTTAATTTATTTTTATGAACAAGTTTACATGTTTGGATTGTTTTTATTAATTCCTTCAGTATGGATTATTAATGTAGAATCATTAAAAGTAGGGATTATTAGTATGAATTTCTCCTATAAATTTTGCATATATGAATAAAACGACCCAAACATCGAGATTTCACGTAGCAATTACGGGAGTCCATACTAAGCCCCCCCCCCCCCCTCTCCCACCCAAAATTATTATGGTACGATGTCGCTATTACATTTTCTATTTTGGTAAGGCATTGAACATGTTTTCCCTAGTTGTGAGTCCCGTTAATATTCAAATTCGCCTAGAGAAAATCTCAATCTCATTGAATATTCAAACATCACACATGTGCCATACAAGATCGAGTAAATTTTTGTTTTCCATTCTTGTGTATGTGTATCCTAAAGTTCATGATTTAAATATCATAGTTAAGTGCAAATATATACCAAATTTAACATACTTCCATGATTATATATCATTGTATATGTATACATAGAGACACACCTCTAATGTCATGGATACGAAATTGAACATCAAGGATCATCTATATAACTTCAAAATGCTAGGATAACATGAATACATGATCAAAACAGGTTCATAACTATAAAGGTAAAAAAAGTCAAAGCAACACCCATATGGCCAACGTTGGTTGATGGGACACCTGAGGCATGCATGATTCCCTGCAACGTTGCACATTCAACAGCGAATGAGTATTGAATAATGAAAATGAACAAACAAAAAAGTGACCTATTCATTTAGTTGTCCAAAAAGCAATGACATAGTTTTACATGACAACAACCTTAGCTTCTTATGAAGGATTTATGAGACTAAGTTTCAAACCAATCATCGCTCTAGATTTTTGCCACTTGAGTGGAGATTTCACGAGACGACAATGTGTTGAGATAGATGGTATATGAAAAGCTAGCTAGGACTTGTAACACTCTAAGTAATATCTTCTTAGTGACCCAAAAGAGACTCCAAAAGAGTTATGTGGCAAAAAACATGTTATAAGAAATGTCTTCCCAAAGCGCTTGTCCTCCTCTCTTTTCAGCCTGTTAGAGATAAACATGCAAATATTTGGTGTTAATGTTGGTTGTTTCTATTTAGTCCTATCTCTTATTATTTAATGAATACAAGGAAGTGTCGGCTTATCTAAACTCTAATCTAGAGATGCTCTTTTCAATAAGAAGATAATAGAGGCTAACAAAAGCCGTTAAATAATATCAGCAAGGCATATTACAAAAATTAAGTACGAAGTATTACTTATTTTATACATTTATTGTAGGGTATAAATAATACTTTCTGGAAAAAATTGGCAAGAATAATCCCACCTTTCACTGGTCTTCTCATAATAATCTCATCTTTACGTAATCCAAGAATAATCTCACCTTTGCACCTCATCTTCTTTTATTGGACCCTGACCTATTGATGACCTACAAAGGTGGGATTATTCATATAAGATTTTCAAAGAAAGGGTCCAATGAAAGAAGATGGAGTGCAAAGGTGAGATTATTATGAGAAGACCAGTGAAAGGTGAGATTATTCTTATCAATTTTCTGATAAAGAGGAGGGCAGATAGTTTATTCTTTGTATTATTCAGCAAAGGCTAAGGGGAAGGAGTTATACTTGTTGCAGAGTTTCTTTTGAGGCTCATGAGAGTTCAGTTTCAAGATTCTTTATTCTTTCTTGTATTTCTTTCGTATTTGTACTATAAGATACTAACATTAATATACACGGGGTGAGGATCTCATCCTTGAAAGAAGCCCTAGAGGCTTGCCTTGTCAACGCCTTGTGCCTGAGCTTGGAAATGCATGGTATTTTTAGTGAAGCTACCCCCCTAGATATCTACTTCTTACTAATGCTGCGATAATAGAGATATTAACTAGAAGTCTAGAACAGAATATCAATAGGAAACTATTAAGGAGTACTAATTAGTAATAATAATAGGTAGAGGTCCTCTTCCAAAATATTACTATTGCACTTGATAGTTGATACTTGTTCCTTTACTATGTGCATCCCATACTCTGCTTCCAGTGTCATGCACGCTCCTCTTTACATCTACGCCTAGAATAATTGTAGAGCATTTTAGGTTCGTATTGGACATGGAGGCATAAAGTCAACACTCGCATCAACGTGTATTACTGTTCCTGTGATCGTATTGGACTCCAGGGATCTATTCACAACCTCTAAGCATCTGATTCTCTCTTCTTAAACAAGCAAAAGAAGCTTAACCATTACATAAGTGATGCTATATAAAGAGGGGGGTGACAATAAGTACTTGAGGCAAGATAAGGCGCATACCTTTGACACCAAATTAGAGAGTCCAGAAAAGCCAATGTCATAAGAAATCCTCCCATCAGCTTTAAACAATCCATAGTTCTTCTCGGAAAACGGTCCTGGCTTTAAATTTTCATTGAAAAGGGCAAATATATACGCCTTGAGGACTGTGTTGGGCCTCAATGGAGTTCCCTTCCTCTTTGCAAGTCTTTTCCTCAGATTGTAATTGTATGTCCTAGCATTAACCTTTGTAGCAGCAGGTTCGTTTATCCCCCCGTGTGAAGCCCAACCGGTTTCTGTAACGATAACATCTGTTTCTCTATATCCGGCATCTTCCAAAGCAGCATATGCCGCATCAATTTGAGCATCGAGTAGATTGTCATAATGAAGATGAGTTTTATTGTCAAAAACACCCCTATTTATACCGAGTAGGGCATAGTTGATGTCAATCTTGTCGGAGTTATATGTGTACGCCAAGAAGGGATACACGTTTAAGCAGAAGGGGGACCTGATCTCGGAGAAAAATTGTAGAAGTGGTTTCATGAGGTGAGCTACACTCTCTTTAAAAGTGCAGGAGGAAGGGGGGTAGGAATTAGCAAAGACAGCTTGTGAATGGGCAGTTGTTATCTGAATAGCGTCACTAATCCCCAGCTTTTGGGTGGCATTGTGTATGTTTTTCACAGCGTGTAACAAGGCTGCAGACAGTTCATCATCATCATCATCATCACTCCCTCCAAGAACTTCATTACCCACAGCAATCCCAACGATGTCGGTGTGAGGAATGAATGCCTGCACATTGTCTTTTACCCAATCCAGTGCACGACCCGCATTTGAGCTCACGCCCTTCACTTCGCTGTTCGGAAGCCCCACCACTAACTCAAGCCCAGTCCCTCCAAAAGCTTTAATCACGCTGTGGTTTGCATCATAAATCCTAACATTCTTGATCTTTGCTGCTCTAAGCAGTTTAGCCACTTTATCTGGCGAAGGGATGTTATTTGCTACCCTTCCGTAATTAATCCCATATGTTCCAGTGAATGCTCTCACTCTTTGTTCACCTGTATATTCACACACAAATTCTCCCATCTCATTAACACACCCATTCATCTCAACCAACTCATTGTTCCGGGCAGGTGACATTAAATTCAATTAACACAATGAGAAACAAAAAACGGAATTATACATTAACATGCATAAAGGCAGTTTGATAAAGATTATCCTAGCAGGCCATCAAGCCTATTCAAGACTTGATTTTCACACCGTATATTGGGATAGACAGTATCTTTAGATTGTCACTGCATTTTCGGATTTATTATAACACACAATTTTGTTTCAAAGGATCTATTGGGTGTTCATGTTGTATTCATAAGGATCTATATAGCTTATAAATTACGCATGAAAGATAGATAGATAGATACTCCCCTGTATTGAAATGTTTGTTACAATAGAGTTGACACAATATATTTAATACAAAAGTAGTAGGGACAAAGTTTGAAGTTGCGTAGTCCGTAGTCGTAACGATTTTTTAGAATTACATACATATTGCATCAGCCTCATTGAGCAATGATGCGTATGGCTGAGGCATAAAAAATGGATATACGCCCACACATGTGTGTGTAAACACAATAAAAATAAATTAAAGTTTTAAATATGATTTTAGTCCTGACAAAAATGACACACTTTGTTTTAGGCCCCTGCAAGATATACTCTTGATTTTCTTCCTTGTAATATGCTCTATTTTGGTTCTAGTCCATCTGTAACTCCAAAATAACTCTACTTAGAAATATGTTTATTGTGAGTTGCATATACCTACTATAAACATTTAAATTTATCATTTTTTAATTTTTTAAGCTAATATGAGAGTTAAAAAAATATAGAGATCAATTAATTTGACCAATTCTGTTCCCTTTTCCTATTGGTTGGCAACCCATGAAGAATGATTTAAACAAAGCGCGAGAATCAATATAGAGATTGTCATCTCGTCGACAAAATCGGACAAAGATTGTCAAGTCATCGACCGGACCGAACCGGGACTGCCTGATCATCGACCTGACCGGATCTAGATCGCTCGGTCATCAAATGGACCTAACTGGACCAAAACCGAGCCCAAAGCGGGACCGAACCAGAGTAGGACTGGGTCCACCACTAGGTGTAAGTAGGGATGGGCATGGTCTGGGTCGGTCCGGGTAATCAATAAATTTTCAAGAACCGCCGGTTCCATTTAACGGGTAGGTTCGGTCTGGGTATACCAAGTTTCAAAATAGGAACCGGACCTTACCCGCCCCGTTTAAAACGGGCCGGTTAAGTCTGAGTTCACGGTTCTTTTTTTCTAAAGAAAAAAATATGACTATGCAAGCATAGTTTCTAGTAAGTTATAAATTTTCAAATTAATTACGTATTAATGTAACCATAATATAGTAAAAATTCAAAATAAAAAAGAAAAATTGACAAGAATAATCCTACCTTTCACTAATCTTCTCATAATAATCTCACTTTTACATAATCCCAAAATAATCCCACTTTTGCACCTGATCTTCTTTCATTGGACCCTAATCAAGTTTTTTACCCTTCTTTGAAAATCTTATATAAATAATCTCACACTTATAAAGATATAATAAAAAAGTGAAAGGTGAGATTATTTATATGATTTTCAAACAAAGATTAAAAAACTTGGTCAGGGTCCAATGAAAGAAGATGAGGTGCAAAGGTGATATTATTTTGGGATTATGTAAAGGTGAGATTATTATGAGAAGACCAGTGAAAGTTGGGATTATTCTTGTCAATTTTTCCAAATAAAAATATAAGACAACATTTTAAATCAGTTATCAAAATATTGAACCACAAATCTATAAACTAAACAATACATAACCACCTAATTAAAAATGTTAATCATCATTCATAAACTAATTAAAAAGATAGCACCATAAATTCATAAGAAATTAAATTGGTTATCATACATATTTGTCTATGAAAACAATTTAAATCTTATTAAATCTCCAAGTATAAGTAAACAAATTCATTGTAGGAGCACTGCAACATTCGCGCATTTCAAATTTGAAAAACTTGTAAAACTCACACTCTATTTGTTAAGGATAACAGATATACATATCTTATTTTGTTGCTTTAGGAAAATGATTAGGTAAATGCACTTTTCTATTTTCCTTTCTCTAATTTCCAACAATTTTTTTCCATAAACACGTTTTGTTGTGTTTCTTAGGATGTTTTCTTTTGGACGGTAATTCGTTAGTCTAGTCTGGTCTAATATCTGGTCTGATAAATATATGATTTTTATGTATTTTATAATTGTCCAAGTTTGGTCCGGTTTGTTTATGTCTAGTCTTGGTTGATTTGGCTTGGACCAAAAATAGTTCAAAATGAGGGAATTTGACTTTGCACCCCACTTTTTTTGTGATATTGGACTTTGCACCCTATTATACTTAAAAATCCTTTGACTTTGCATTCTATTCACAAAGTTTTTTTAAAACGGAGTACAAAGTCCAATATCACCCAAAAAGTGAGAGCCAAAGTCAAATTCCCCCTCGAAAATAAAAGTGGATAACGGTGAATGCGTGTAGAAATCTGGAGGCGCTAAATCAGGGCATGCCGGGGAGCTTCTTTTCTTCGTGGATCTATTAACGACGTTTTTGAAACCGGCTGAATCAGAGGGATGGATCGGTGGTCACTCAGGGCGTTCCTCATTCCGGCCAGTAGTACTATGCAAAAGGGCCAACATTGAAGTTTCGCTTCCGGCCTATGGGTCGTCCGGCTGCTTACTCATTCCGTGGGAAGCAGCGGTTTAGGAGGCACATATGACGCGGGGGAGTGGTTCGATCAGGGGCCACGAATGACAGTATGGCAAAGGAAGGTCAATTCCCCATCCATGTTTGCTGGTGAACTCATTTTCAGCCATCGCCGCTCAAGAAGGGTTTCCCAGGGCTGCTACCGTGAGTTCATACAGACACTTTCATCAAAATTAGTTTCCAGATCTGTCGGTGTGAATAAAACGTAAAAGAGAGGAGGAGGAGGAGGAGGAGGAGGAGGAGGACCTAAAAAAAAAACAGAAGGAAAGAAGAAGAAGAAGATGATGAAGAAGGAGAAAGGAAGAAAGAAAGAAAGAAGAAAGAACAAGATGATGAACTAGAAGAAAAAGAAAGAAGAAAGAGAGGGGGAGGGGAATCCATATGGTCCAAATGGGAGATGAGGGAGGAGAAGAGAGTGGGAGAGAGGAGAGAGAAAAAAGTTGGGAGGGGGTGAAATAAGAAATGGGGGGAGGGGTATAGGGTGTACACCAAGGTGTAACTTAAGGTGTACTAAAAGAAAAATTCTAGATTTGGCGTTTGGGCCATGCGGAGCCTCAAGAGGAGGTTTGGCGTTCAAGGAGAGGTAGTACTTTTAAGTCTGAGTGAGGAGGTTGAGCATTGTAAGGGGGGAAGTACGTTGCAGTCTTTGATTAATTTAATATAATCAGTTTCTTTAAAAAAACAAATTAGGTACATCATGGGTTACACCCGGGGTTACACCCTATATAACCCTTCGTTTTTTATTTTTTTCTTCCCACTTTTTTCTCTCTCATCCCTCCTCACTCTCTTCTCTCACATTCTCTCCCCCTCTGCACCATAAGAACCCCCTAACCCCTCGTTTTCTTCTTCCTTTCTCCTTCTTCTTCATCATCTTGTTCTACTTTCTTTAATTTCTTCCTTTCTTCTTCATCATCATTTTCTTCTTCTTTTGCTTTCCTTCTATTATTTTCTTTCTTGTTTACGTTTTACTCCGTATTAGCTAAGTTTAGAAAATCATTGTTGTTCATCATCTTCATCATCTTCTTTTTCTTCTTCTTTTTCTTTATTTCCCTCTTTTTACGTTTTATGCACACCGACACTGGTTTGCTTTCTGTGTACACAAACGAGAATTGTATATGCACATACACTTTTTTCTGCACAGACAACTAATGTCTGTGTACACCGACACTTTCCCTACCCCCTCGCAGACTTGCAAACCAATTTTGTTCACACCGGCAGTTTTTTGTCTACACAAACAACTAATGTCTGTGTACATCGACATCGGTTTCTGCAACCAGCCTGACAGATCTGAAAACAAATTTTATTCACACCGACAGTTTTATCGGAAGTGTCTGTATTTATACGTTTTTTGTCTATGTGAATGGCAAATAAATAGGGTGTAACCCAAGAATTTTCCATTGAGATAAGCACTGGTTCAAGACCGAACTAGATTGGACCAGAACCAATTGTGCTGAAATCGGATTCTCAAAAATAGTACATCAAAAACCGGACTTATGTAATTTCGGCCCTCAGCTAGATTGGGCCAAATTATTCTGGGCTTGTCCGTAGTCAACCGGTGTTGGACAGGGTTTAGATTTTTAATTAAGAATAATAACTTTTTTTATAAAAAAATTAACAGTGATAACTATTACTCCATCTGTTTCGCAATCAAAGTCACACTTTTCTTTTTTGGATGTGCCAAAATAAAAGTCACACTTCTCATTTAGGGAAAAAAATCTATATCAATACAGTACAAAATAGTGCAAAACAATGTCAAATAGTAGCAAAACAATGTACTCTACAGTAAAACTTACCCTTCAGTAAAAAAAAATCCTTAATCTTTGTGAAATCAAAGTGTGACTTTGATTGTGAAACGAAGGGAATAATTTATTTGAACACAGACTTTCTTTAATAATTATTCCAATTAAACTAAATCTAATTGGTTATGAATATTTGTTACATACTAATACAATTTAAAAGGAATATATATTTAAAAATACAACAACAACAACAACATTCAAGCCTTATTCTCAAAAGTTTTTGAGATCGGCTAACATGAACGAATCCATGATATAAATGCCAAAAAGAGAAGACAGACAAGGAGACAAGAAAAAAGATAAAACGAATTAGATAAAGATAAATAAATATAAGATAATAATTACATAAGAATATAAAAAAGATATAAAAAAAAGATAAAAAGATAAAAGCGCATAAAAAAACTAGAAGATAAAAATAACCTAAGAACGTACAAAGATAAAGCAGATAAATGATAAAAGAAAAAGAGAGAGGAAACATAGAAAAGAGATCAATCGTCCACACGAATGTGTGCAATCCACTTTGCTCTCTTCAAAGCCATACTCTTATCCAACACAAGAAGACGCATATCAGTTTTGATTCCTTTAATCCAAGTCTATTTGGGTCTTCCCGTCCCTCTCCTCTCTGTCTCTTCTACCCACTCTCAAGTCATCTAATAGGTGCATCACTCGGTCTTCTACTTTGGATCGAACTCAACCGAAACTGAAAACTACAAAAACCTTAGACTGAAGATTGGACCAGTACATAACCGGCCTGGATCCAATCTAGACCGATCGATCCGGTTCTGTTTGATTTTCCAGTATGGACCGGAATATGCTCACCCCTAGCCAGGAATGCGCGCAAATTACTCTAAAGGGGATGTTATTATTTTTTTTTTATGGTAAAGGGGATGTTATTAGAGACTACAAATGGGGATGTTATTGACTTATTTCCATTAAAATTGAAACTAAAATTTTCTCATTCTTTAAGAAAGACTTTTGTATTTCTGAATTTAATAAGGGCATCGATCGTCAAATATCGCTTGGACTGGGAACTATTTCTTTGGCTAAAGGAATCGTTGTTGAGGTTTAAAAAGGGAGCATCATACTCTTGGAAATTACCAGGTACAAAACATCTAAATCATATTCCCTCCATCCTATTGGACTTTATCAACTTTACATTTTTTGTTGTCCTAAAAACTTTTGTCACTTTCTTATTAAAGCAAC